AATTTGTTTTTAAAATGGTTTAAAAATAGGTTTAAAACATTTTTAATAATATTATTAAAATAGTTTTAATATGTATTGTTTATATTATTATTATTAAATTATTACTAGTAATTATTATGTTTTTTAAAATATAATAAATATATAATAATAATATTTTTTATTTTTTTATAGTTTCAGTAAAGTAAATGTGTTAATATTAAAAGAAAATAAAGAGATTAAACTATTTGTTAAATTATTTTTCTTATTAACAAATATTCTTATAAAAACAAGAAACCTTTATTACAATATTATGTAAATATTCAAAATACAGTCAGATCTCGTTATAGTCACTCTCAATATAGTCACAACCTTGTTATAATCACACTATTTTTTTGACCTAGCTATGATAAAACATATAAATTTTAACCTTTATATAGTTACAACTTTTTATAATCACCAAAATTTTGTTTCCCAACCTGGTGATTATATCGAGGTCTAACTGTATTTAAAAATTACATAAATCACATGTTTGTATCTTTTATTAATTTTTAGAAACTATAAAACTATTTAAATTTATTTAAAGTTTTAGCTATTTATTTTTTAAGTATTCTTAATATTTAAAAGAAAATTTCTAAGCCTACACTAGTGTGTATACACGGGATTAATTTATTGATTTGCAAATCAGAGCAACATATAAATTTATAAAAAAAACCATTTAATATTAGAGTTAGGGTTAGAGGTTAGGGTTAAAAAATATTTTATACTAAAATTTTGTATAGATTATTTTTTATTAGAACCCCCAAAGTAGTTTCATAAGCAAAATTTTGAGTAATAACAATACCCATGTGTATACACTAGTGTACAAATAGTAATTCTTTATTTAAAATATTGCAAAATTATTAAATTATAAGGTATTTTACAACCCTAATGAAGATTACACCTTACCTATAGCATTCCCAAGTATATCACTTCACCTTCATCATTTTACTAACAAACCTATAAAAGTAGCCGTGTGCACTAGCTGTAAAAAACCTAAAACCAGAAAATTTCCACCTATTTTATTGAATATACTACAAGAGATAATTCAAGTCCCAATTAAGTACGGAAAACATCTTTCACCCGTTCATATAACGTGCTCATTAGATCGAGCACCCAGGTCAAATCTATACACAACATACTGATTTTTACAAGGAGATTTTTTTTAAGCAAAAATGCACATGCCCTTGAACTATACTCAGGCTTAATTGAAGCATTCCTAACTCCAAACGAACTAGCTTATTGGTACCATAAAACTCTCCCTACCACCTGTAATTAGTTAAAAAGAAACAGCCCAATATTTCAACAATACAAGAACATACCCACTATCAATACTCCTTGACCAATACACATACACCCAATACCTCTACCAATAGCACGACACTCACAAACAAATTCAAATACCACTCCATTACGCAATAACTCCACAATCTCTGAACTCATAATTCCTACTGGAGAATTTCCTCCAGAAACTCATAACAAAGATCAAAGATATCACAGACTCATGGCTGGATTCATGAAACTTGATAACCTAACATTACCCATACCTTATAGTGATCCTGACCTTGAAGCAATGATATTCCCTGACCTGTTCCCAACTGGGAAAGGTCATTATCAAAATATATGCAACCAACTTAACTTACAATCCGCCTCAGAAAGTTACGGAAAATACATCAAACTCAAAATTTTCTGCCCAGACCCAAGGTTTAGATTGCACTAGTATTGGCCACACTGGTCATATCTAAACCTCGAAAAAAACATAACTTTCAATATAATTGCAGAATATTAAATCAAAAAAATATATTACGCAAACATCACCCAACTAGAGCAGAACTTATAGGTATAATAAATAATCTGCTTATATTACCCATTAATCTTATCTACACAAAAATATTCAAAAAATTAAGATAAAATCCACTAAACTAAAATCATTTTAATTACTTTAAACTTTCTAACACATTATACATCAACATATCTACACTTATATTAGGTCGAAGTGTATATACCGACTATACATGCCGACGAAATTATTTTGGGTTCAAAAACCCGAAATTAAAATTTGAAGATGAAATTGTTTTTGATCTATTTTACTTAAAAGACAAAATTTTTTGACACTTTTTTTGAATAGACAAAATTATGAGTATAATTATATAAATTTTATTTGCTCTTTCTTATAAAAAATTTTAATTTGCTCTAATGGAGACGAACAACTTACCAGACCAATACCAAGAGCCTGAACTATACAGATTAGTTACCGCCTATCAAATTCACAGGTAAAGTAACTTTCTTAAAAAAAAAAAAAAAAAAAAAAAAAAAAAAAAAAAAAAAAAAAAAAAAAAAAAAAAAAAAAAATTAAAAAAAAAAAA